CGATATCTTCGCCCAAAGCTATTGTCGCGCTTTTATGGATGTTTTCAGTCTCTGAACTAATTATGGGTGACTTTTGCTCCCAATTCTCTTCATTATTGTTATTGTGTTTGTTTTTATCGTCGTTTTCGATGCATTTACTGATTATTCCGTTTATGTTATCGTTTTTAAGGAACGGAAGACTATTATTGGTTTCATTATAGTCTTCGTCGATGAAGTCTACGTCAGCGTCGCTTAAATCAAACGCTTTTGTGCGCCGATTAACACAAGTTAGTCCGCCTCCCGGACCCGTCGACGCCGTCACCAATTTGTTGGACAATTTGTGAACCTCTTTGACGGGCAGATCATAACATGTTTTGCCGCACAGAATATCCGGATGACTCTTATTTAGTTTCCTATTAATTATCATTTATTTGAGAATTAATTTCATTTAAACATAATTTCAAAGTCTTTCATATAAACCAATAAATAATAATCAAAAATCTCTTCATTGACTTAATATACAATAGAAATGCAAACAACAAACTGACAGTAATAACCGTCAAAACTGATGGCTTATATAAATCAAAAGCAATTCATTAAAATTAAAATATTTTTATTTTATTTATATATAAAAATAACACGATTTTGTGATCATATTTTGTTTCATGGATTTTATTTTATTCAAATATTTTCCACAATATTATTAAAGTAATAAATCAAATGAATTTATGGATTAATTTTGCGCTTAAATTATATATTCGCCGAAAATTATAGTCTGAATGAACGGCAAAATCATTTACATTAATGACAATCGATGTTATTTTTATGGCAATAGATTGGGCTTTGGGTTCAAGATATTTAATTTTCTTGAAATACATGTCCAGTGAAAAACCCATTGAAGCCATCCATCAGATTGTCAATGAGTTTACAAAACAAAAAACAACAAAACAATACATAAAAAACAAACATAAAATTGAGTCTTGGATTCAATGGATTCATACCATTGAAAGACATTTGAAACACACTTTCAACACAAATGATTGACTGAAAAGGAAAACCAGTTATTCGTGTCTTTCATTTCAATTGAATTTTGTTTTGAGAAAAAACTTTTTTTTTCAAATTATTTTCCCTTTAAATGTCTGTATTTCTGCCAAAATATGATCACAAAAACACAATTAAGTTCACAATATATCTCGAAATATAAAAGTTTTCTAAAAAGTCATTGAATTTTAAATTGAGACTAAAATTAGAGACAAAGAAATGATAAGACAAACGACAAGACATGACTCACCCGTTGAGGTATTTGTTAATGAATGAGCCGTTGTTTGGTTGGATCTGTTTCTTCGGATCGATCAATGAGTTTCGCTTTGAATTGTGGTTACAATTAGATAATTGACTCAATTGTCTGCCAATTAAATCGCTTAATCTCTCCCTTATATTAGCCATCGTTTGGATATTATATTCAAACAAATGGTTTGTTTTCAATGACTGATGTCTTGTGTTGGATGTGTTGATGGCTTCAATCAATCACTGCTTTTCGCAGACAATAATTGTATTAATAAATAGCAAACAAATAAAGGTTTGGATTCACTGTTAGGCCATTTGTTCAGTGATTTTGTCGCTCATAATAGCCATGAGATGAGCGAAAAAGATAAGAGTCATTGAACTTGTCTTTTGAGATATCGATTGCTCGGATCAGTCCATCACTAAAGAAGTGATCACTCGATGGCAAACCAATGGCAGAGAGGGAGACAATGCAGACACTGATGTGAGCTTTACTTTCAATTTGTTGTTATTATTAGTAATTATCAAATGATATAAACATTTATTATAACAATCAATGTATGGCTTGTGGTGTGAATGAGAGGTACGGCTGGTGTGGGACTCGTTGTGGCTATAGTTGTGTCCAGTGATCGCTGTCTCAACACATGATAACACTATTCAGTGATGTATTGATAATAATTGATGTTTTGGTTATGAAGTGAATTGTTTTGAACAAAAGAGTGGTTTGTTTGGGATCTCAGATGTGATGCCAATGAGTGAACACAAACAGCACAACAACACACTCGCAGTCGGAGCAGGCGTTCAATACAAGTGCTGTCAATGCAAGCGATGTTGAATTGCATGTAATATGAGTGTGAATTTGGGTCACTTGACTGCCATTCACTCACAGCCACAGCCAATATATCTCACCTTGAATTGCATGCCATAGCTATAGCCAAAGCCTAACTGCCCTAACAGATGCCTACCTGTGCCCACCAAACGCCACAAACCTGTTTCATACAAAACACATTATACAACATACTGTCTTCACTACATTAGTCCATCTCATTCTCTCTCTCTCTCTCTTCTAATTATCGTTGGTTTTTGTATTCCTTTCCAAATATAATAAATTTTCATTAAATTTTATTAAAAACTTTTTTCATTTCTTTTTTTCGGAGTTTATTATGAATTGAATGAATGAACGAATGGTTAGCTTAAGTATTAAGTATAATATAGTGGAGACAATGATAGGGCCATTGACTTGAAATATATTCATTAAAATTGATCTCTTGATGACTTAGCAGTGGGTGTATTGACTACACTCTTATAATCAGACAATTGGTTGTCTTATATATGATATAATATCCATAATTCCGGTTCCAAAACGACATAATCTATGCGATTGTGAAAACTTTTTTCAATCTATAGTTTTAATAAAATTGCAAGTTTTACATACATTTTAACATAAATTTTAATTTGATTTTTTATGGCAAACCTTTTTAATAACCTTTTGAACTTAATATCGTTTCATAAAATGCATTATAGAAATATTGTTTTTAATATAAAGCGAAAAATATTATCTTATTTTTTAGGCAAATAAACAAAAACACATATAAAAACTTGTAGTAATATTGAGAATATGTGAAGCATTACAATAGACATTATATTTCCACTCATATATTCTCTTTATATTGTTTATGAATTATGAAAATATACATAATTTTATTANTGTAAATGATTTTGCCGTTCATTCAGACTATAATTTTCGGCGAATATATAATTTAAGCGCAAAATTAATCCATAAATTCATTTGATTTATTACTTTAATAATATTGTGGAAAATATTTGAATAAAATAAAATCCATGAAACAAAATATGATCACAAAATCGTGTTATTTTTATATATAAATAAAATAAAAATATTTTAATTTTAATGAATTGCTTTTGATTTATATAAACCATCAGTTTTGACGGTTATTACTGTCAGTTTGTTGTTTGCATTTCTATTGTATATTAAGTCAATGATGAGATTTTTGATTATAATTTATTGGTTTATGAAAGACTTTGAAATTATGTTTAAATGAAATTAATTGTGAAATAAATGATAATTAATAGGAAACTAAATAAGAGTCATCCGGATATTCTGTGCGGCAAAACATGTTATGATCTGCCCGTCAAAGAGGTCCACAAATTGTCCAACAAATTGGTGACGGCGTCGACGGGTCCGGGAGGCGGACTAACTTGTGTTAATCGTCGGACAAAAGCGTTTGATTTAAGCGACGCTGACGTAGACTTCATCGACGAAGACTATAATGAAACCAATAATAGTCTTCCGTTCCTTAAAAACGATAACATAAACGGAATAATCAGTAAAAGCATTGAAAACGACGATAAAAACAAACACAATAACAATAATGAAGAGAATTGGGAGCAAAAGTCACCCATAATTAGTTCAGAGACTGAAAACATCCATAAAAGCGCGACAATAGCTTTGGGCGAAGATATCGCAGGCATTGCCAATTGGGGCTCAGGAACTGACAGCGCCTACGGAATGGCCACAACTCTCTACGAATGCCATCCCTCTACTAAAGAAAAAGCCGGTCAGTTATCCTCTCTCCCATTGAATTGCAATTATGGTTTTTCGCCTAAATAGCGCTAATATATAGTTAGCCTTAATTTGTTTCGATAATGACATTATATATTATCGTAATATCGATATTAACGGCAAAAACTATTGAATATTTAATGAGAATTTGTTGATAAATTTGTAACAAACAGGTGAACCGATTGCCGACGCGTTCGGTCTCTGTGTTCGTGAGAACAGTGCGGTCATGGCTTTGGCCGATGGCGTCAATTGGGGTGAGAAGTCGTGTTTGGCGGCGCGCTGTGCAGTACACGGAGCTATCGATTACTTAAATAAGGCCTTGTATTCCGAGGGATCGCGTATTGAAAATACAATGGTTTGTTCAGCAAAAAACACTTTTTTATTTATTTATATCGAAGGCTGTGATTAATGAGTTGTTTTGACTGATTTCCTGTTCGCACTCTTATGTATATTTCAGGATATATTTGTAGCGCTTCTCCGCTCTTTCAATGCCGCACACAATCTAATACTACAGGAAAACGGATTACTAACGACTCTCTGCACTGGTATTACAATCCATTTATTAAGCAAATATTGTGATGAGAGCTGACGAAAACACTTCTTGTATTCCTTAGCCATTGTCTGTCAACTGAAAAATACAGATCGATTTATAGTGTGCACGTGTAATGTCGGCGATTCGTTGGCTTATGTTTACAATGAGAAACATGGGGTCCGAGAGATCACTCAAGGTTTGCCACCATTTGGTGATCATTTGCCACAATTTTGTTACATAAATAACACATTGACTGCAATTTAGGCTCACATGACATCTATTCGATGCGAGACATGAGGGATGCTTTGGGAGCGTTGGGTCCGGTCGACGGCACGAATCCCGAGTTGAATAACTTGACGGTTGCGAGATGGCGTCAATTGGGGTGAGAAGTCGTGTTTGGCGGCGCGCTGTGCAGTACACGGAGCTATCGATTACTTAAATAAGGCCTTGTATTCCGAGGGATCGCGTATTGAAAATACAATGGTTTGTTCAGTTCAGCAAAAAACACTTTTTATTTATTTATATCGAAGGCTGTGATTAATGAGATGTTTTGACTGATTTCCTGTTCGCACTCTTATGTATATTTCAGGATATATTCGTAGCGCTTCTCCGCTCTTTCAATGCCGCACACAATCTAATACTACAGGAAAACGGATTACTAACGACTCTCTGCACTGGTATTACAATCCATTTCTTAAGCAAATATTGTGATGAGAGCTGACGAAAACACTTCTTGTATTCCTTAGCCATTGTCTGTCAACTGAAAAATTCAGATCGATTTATAGTGTGCACGTGTAATGTCGGCGATTCGTTGGCTTATGTTTACAATGAGAAACATGGGGTCCGAGAGATCACTCAAGGTTTGCCACCATTTGGCGATCATTTGCCACAATTTTGTTACTTAAATAACACATTGACTGCAATTTAGGCTCACATGACATCTATTCGATGCGAGACATGAGGGATGCTTTGGGAGCGTTGGGTCCGGTCGACGGCACGAATCCCGAGTTGAATAACTTGACGGTTGCGATGACTGTTGTCGAACGCGGAGACATTGTCTTCTTAGCCAGTGATGGCATCTCCGATAACTTCGATCCAGTGGTCGGAAAGTTTGCCATTCCTAAGAAAGACAAACCCTATTCCAGCAAAACCAACGGTTCTTCCAGTGAGACCACCAATGATGGTTAGTTTCCACTCTTTTACTGTCACTTTACATTGGATTTAATTATATTCGTGTCAATAGTACGGAAAAGTCGTCTGAAACGGTCCAACTCTAACCCGGACCGGGACTCAGCCCATAGGCCGGCGCCGAACCCCGATTTGCCAATTACTGTCGCTTTGCATTTGATTTAATTATATTCGTGTCAATAGTAAAGAAAAGTCGTCTGAAACGGTCCAACTCTAACCCGGACCGGGACTCAGCCCATAGGCCGGCGCCGAACCCCGATTTGCCAGTCGTTACGGCCGAACAAAGACACGAACTATCGTTACTCCGAATGGAAGATCTGTTACTTAATGGCGTGAATGAGAGCGACAAACGTTGCACTTCTGCCAAAAATCTTTGTCACCTAATGGTTGACTTCTCGATGAAGTTAACGACCGCTAAGAGGCGGATACTGGAGGACCCGGACCTCTACGACAACGACAACTCATTCGGTCAGTACGAGCAGAAGCAGAGGCGGCGCCGAGTGGGTGACAAGTTGGCGATGGTGCCTGGGAAATTAGATCACGCGTCCATTGTTGCCTATAAGGTTGCCTTCTATGGCAAATGCAAAGACCAGGTGTTCGACGAGAAGAATGGCATTTGTGAGGACAAGTATAATCTGAGAACTCGGGCCACTTTGGCTCGATTCGAGTCTCAGGAAGATTTCAGTGATTTGAGTGAATCCACGATCTAATCATCTAATGATCTGATGATTTCATTTTAATGCCAACATTGAAACTCATTTTTCAATTTGGTTCGTCTCTCTATTTTAGTACTAAAACCTCTCAAAACAATTAATTTAATTTTTTATTAGCTTTTAGGAGAAATGTTTGGCTTAGAGAATGTACTCACGATTTCTTAATTTATGTTATAATTTATATAAAATATTCAGATCTAAAGCAAGAGATCTAATGCTGTGTTGTGTATAGAAGAGAGAGCCCCAGAGCCCTACACTGACTGACATTTATTTTGCTGTTTTAATCGTCAGATCGTGTTGTAGTTTATCTAAATCTAAACGCAAATAACCCATCGTTTTGAATGCACTTAACATAATATCTAAACTATTATTTAATCATCACTTAAAACCAAATTACATCCTATTATGCGTTTATAATTATGAGTATTGTGTTGTCTCTCTTGGATTCACACAACCCTTGCTTTAAGTTAAACATTGGCCACAATTTGTTGGCGAATACAAGGACTCGAGCTCTCAGTGTTTTGAATGACAAAAGTGCTGAATATTTGAATTTATATGAATAACTATTTGTTTCACACGAAATACAAATCATTTCTTTATTTTGAATTTGTATTATTATTATTATTCTTTAAGTTTGTGTTTGTTTTTTATACATGTTTTTCTCATTTTCTGTTTATTTATTGAGACATTTCTTTCATCTATTAGTTCTTAATATAAGTTTATTTGCAAAAAGAATACATAAAAAGTTATTTCTTTTTATTATAAATAAGTCTCTATTTTCGTATAAAGGCTTTGAACTAATCCTATATTTATTACATGTATTTTCAAAGCTATCAAAATAGTCACGACATTATGAAAGCAAAGCCAATGAAGATATTCTTTGGTTTCCCTTCCATTAAATCCTATTTTCAAAGAATACGTTTAAATGAAAGACAAAAGTTTTTAATCAATTATTCAATACATTCCGTTTGCGAGTGATTTAGAGAATTGTATTCACATTTGAATCAATTCTTTTGTGAATTAATCTGAAGGCTAGACCTGATTGAAGGCCTGTATTATTGGCGGTCTTCTCGAGACAATCCAATAATTAAATTGACTCCAGATTTAGGTCACAATGAATACAGACTTAGAGCCCTATAATGAAAGTGCAGTTCGTGTGAAACGAATAGATTTGTCCAAAAGTAGGATTAATTTGTTAATCATATGATTTCAATGTTCTTCGGCTGAAGACTATGTTTTGCTGTTTTAGGCCTTTAATTAATTTTTAATTAAATGTTTATTATTTGAATCGATGTTACGCTGCATAAGAGCGGCAGCTATAATACGGTATACTTTTATATTGTATGCATTTTAGATCTCTATCTTATGGTAACAATTATTGTAACGTTTGAGAAAAATAAGGTTAAAAGAGACAAGTTTTTGCTTTTTATCAATGATTTGTTGATAACTAATTGGATTTTCACGAAAATACAATTGATTTTTGTAAATGAAAGCATCTGTTAATGTAATATCGCGTCTATTGTTATAATGAAATGATTGTTGTATTGAATATTAAGTGAAAGAGTTTTTACAGAAAGTTTTCCAAATGGAAAGAACAGTACTTTTGATGGACACAAGAGAGTAAAGGATGTGATAAATAGGATATCTTTGTCGACAATATTATAATTATTGATATAAAAAACATAAAACTAATGAAAGAATCAAATAATTGTAAACAAAAATACATTTTGATTAAACAATTTAACCCATCGTTTGAAAGATGCCAAATATATTATTGAAAAGCTGCCATTTTTTCAACCATTCTAAACCTAAATCTAAGTTTTTAATACATTTTCTTAATTCACTATATTATTAGACTTAATGTTAAAATTGTTTTGATTTGAATTCTTAGAACAAATTCTTTACTAATTCTTCAAAAAGTGTTAACGTTTTGCTCAATTTATTTCCCAAATTCTCTTTTATTTCACAAACCGGTTGTCAAACAAAAACATTAAATGCCTTTTAATTGTACCCTTTCTTTGGACTTCTAGTCAAACCATTTTTTAATCACACGACTTATGGCATCAAAATTTTAAGTAATTTTTTAAAATTATATATTCATTACGTTTTTTAATTGCAAAACTTTTCAAATTGTAACTCTTTTTTGCATTTAAATCATTTGTATTTTATGTAAAAATTGTCGATAACTTTTCGAATAACTTAACAAATAAAACAGAATTTAAGAAAATTTTGATAAATAGATGTGAAAAATGATTTTTATTTGAAAATTACAATAAAGTGTTGGTCTATGGCATAGACTATGCAGTGGTTGGAGGTCTCTGTTGTTGAGCCGATTGGAGAGCTTGAATGGCGGCCAACGATGGCGGGGCTCCGAATGGAGGCGGGGGTCCGGTCGGGGGTCTCATACCGGGCATCATAGGAGGCATCATCATTGCCGCGCCCGGCGGTAGAGGCGGTGGCGGAACGTTGGGAATGATTGGCAGCCGACCGCCGGCCACAGGGAATCGCGCGCCGGGAGGTAGTGGTGGCGGAGGCGGGAGTATAGCTCCGGGCGGCGGCTTCGGGACGCTTCCAAACGCAGTCGACAGCGCTTTACTCGCCTTAAATGCGGCCGCTTTTGGAGGAAAACAATTATTTATTAGTTTGCAATTTATTGTAAGTAATAATAAGTATTAATAATAATATAATTTAAAACTTATATTAATAATAATAATTGTTAGAAATAATTCATGCATTACTTGAAACTCAATGACAATTAACTCATTTGAATCAACTATTAATTCAATAGTGACTCAAAATTTAAGGTAAATTTTTTCCGTAAATTAAATATTTAAGAAAATTTAATTAATAATTACTATTTGAATGCAATTTGAATGTAAATTAAATGAATAAAATATATAACAAATATTTAATTATAAATAATTTATCAATAATTATAACGACGAAAATAACTGTTAAAATAATTGTTTGTAAACGTAATCTCAATGCGATTTCAAAGGCTATGAATAAATGATAAAATGTATACAAAATATATATAACTTATAACAATAGCAATGAATTTGAATGAATCCAAAAGCGAGCCGTAAATTCATTTGAAATGAATAAATGAATTAATGGTTAAATATAAAGGGATTCAAACCCTGATGTGATAAGTGGTCCCATTTTGTGTGATCAGCAGCTCTTTGCCTCCAACCATAGGCTGAACTCACTATCAATTAGCGATCAGTTTATAAACGCATTGAGAATTCAATTCAATTAATAGCCGATAATTACCGACAGATTTCAGTATTAAATCAATCAAAAATGTAATTAAACTCATTATAACATCGTTTGTTTAAAAGCAATGCCTAATCATTGCATACAATAAGCCAACAAATGAAGCCTTACTTACAATACCTCTTAAACATAACGTATAACTAAAGCATTAAATGACTAATCGGTAAATAGTGGTCAATGAATGGTAAGGCAGGTGTGGATGACTTACTGGTGGCGTCGATGAGTGACTGAGCTTGGTCCTCCATCCACTTCTGGTAGTAAAACTTCACGTTCTCCTTATGTTTCCTCCCATTGCAGTGAGTCTTCCGCACCGATGGCTACACAACACAACCGAAACACACATTCATTGCATTAAATCATTGGATCAGATCATCAATGGATGGCATTTAAGACATACCGAGTCGTGAGTGAGGAAAGTATCGCAATAATCGCAATAATATCTGGAAATACATGTAAGCAATGGCTTTAATATACATTATATAGTGATCTGTTTGTTGACATACTTAGGCATTATCGCAACGCTTGAGTCAATCACACAATTAATACAACAATTTGTTAATTATTTGTTTAATTTTCGGCACAATTTTTATTTCATCTCTTTTTTCATAACAAAGTGTTGAGTTTATTACACAATCCGTTCATAAATTACGGTCACATAAATATAATACCGAAAAACGTATTGTAATTAAATTTAACAGTAATTGAAAAGTAATCATAATTTTTAATTATAATTATTTATATGAAATGCTTTTGAATATATTTATGAATACAATATTTTAAATTGTTGATAACTGAAATCATTTAAAATATTATATAAGTTTTATAATATTAAAAAATGACAATATTTTCCAAATTCAATAACAGATTATACAAACTTTTATTAAAAGTTAAAAAGTAATCAATCAGTCGTTTCCTCAACCTTTTGGTCGACTCTTTCGGACATTTCGTCAACTTTTTGTTCGTCTCTTTCGTCAACTCTTTCATCGGTTTTTTCTTCGACTTCTTTTTCAATTTTTACCACAGATTTGTTGTCATTTTCTTTATCACGTATTTCTTCAGTGCTTTGTTCCGTCACTTCTTGTGGCATATCTTGAGCTAAATCTGGTGCCGACTCTTGTGTTAAGTTATTGTCGAGATTTTGTTTTAAATCATTGCCTAATTGTTGAGTGGTTTCATGTAATGGTTTGCAGATAGAGATGAAGTGATTTTCTTTGATCATATGAATTGCTGTTCAAATCATTCAAAAAACAAAATCAAATAACATTTTCACAATAAGAGCGGCAAAAGAAATACCCATTTGGTTGCCATCGGTTGCCGTGAAGTTACAGTCAGAGTCACCGCAACGGACGTCATATGTAACGAACTGAGAATAAAGTCTATGCACTGTATTCTCGTTGACCAGTTGTTTGGGCGTCGAGTGGGCGCCCGCCGTGTGTTCAGTGAAAGCTGTGGAACAATGAGTGGTAAAATTGCATTTTTCGCAAACACTTTTGCTATTGTAATGACTAATTGTGAGATTAGTATTGCATTCAAAACAGACAGTTGTCTTGTCATTGAAGAGAATCTCTGTCTTAACGCCTTCCTCCACGTCCTCGGAGTTGGGCTTCAATTGAAAACTCGCGGAAAGCATTTGTGTCAACTGTTTCTCACTATAATCACAGTCTACGGGAAGAATGAAGTTCTCGAACGGCATATTGTCTTCATTAAGAGAGATATGACACACGGGTTCCATAGATAAGAAATCACTGATGTCTGGCGTATAACTCATTTCAAAATTGTTGTCGTTGTCATCAGTAGTCTCTGTATTGGAGTTGATGAGAGGCATGAGACCGTTGTTGGCAAATGTTGGTAAGAATGGAGTGAAGAGTTCTTCTTCGCGGGCTCTCACACACAGCTGTCTGTCCTCTTCCTGAACGACGAATGTTTCGATTTCAAACTCTATCAATAAATAGACAAACAATTAATTGTCATAAATAAAGGATTGGCAAAAACCCACTTTCATCGACAGCAGCGCTGGGATTGTGTCCTTTAAAACAATGTTCCTTAAGATCTGGTTTGGAAATGAATGTGAGGACACACTTATCGCAGTCGTAAACGGAAGCGATAGCGTAATGGGTCTGAAGATGACGGTAAACAAATTGAGACAAATTCTTAAATTTGGACAAATGAAACACTCGGATACAGAAGGGACACATCAGTTGACTCGTGTTGGAGTGTTTCTGTTTGGGACACAATTATATGTTAACTCAATTGTCATTATAAATGTGATTTCATTGACATTACAGCTTCGAAGTGATCCAAAAGGTTCTTTTGAAACGATGAACGATATGAACAAATATCACAATAATATGGCCTATAATTGTCAGTAAAAATTAGAGAATAGGTTTGGAAATAATAAGTCGAGAATTTGCTTACATCTCTCCCGCATAATGAGATGTTTTCATGTGTTGTATGAATGGCTGTCTGGCATAGAAGGGAACGATACAAATACGGCACGAATAGGGTATCACTTTTAGACTTGTCTATAAGTAAATCAAAACTAAATTAGTTTTTAAAGCATTTCAAAATTATGTAAACGACTCACCAGTTCTTCGTGCATATGAAGCGTACGATTATTGAAAAATCGCAAACAGTGTTTACATTCGGTCTCATTATTATCTCCTTTGCGAACTCGTCCGCCTCTCTCCACCTCCAAGTGTTCGACCAAATGCTTTATAATCAGAATATTATTAAAAAACATTTGACACAAATGGCATTGAAGGCTATCTTTAGCCAATTCTTCTTCCGGGGCGTCATTTTTGGCAAATTCTTTCTTTAATTGTGTCGAAGAATAATAGTATTCGTCGACGAATACAGAATTGGTTTCGTTTAGTGGTTGTATAGGATTTAAAAGTCGATTTGGTTGACGATTGGCACCGCTATACGTCTGGAGGCCTGAGGGCGGCGGTCGAGCGGGAGGAGGCGTCCCAAAGGTGGCCGAAAGTGGTATACTGTCGTATTTCTGAAGCCCGCACTGCTCTGAGATGTGTTTAATTATACTATAGAAAGCGGTGAATGGATTGGATCCGTAACGCTCTCTCCACAGGAGTTCGTCCAAAATGTTGCCCAAAAGACTGTCCGTAAGTGAATTCAATTCAAACTCTTTAAAAAACTTCATCAAATGATGTGTCATATAACCACTGATGGACTTCACACGAGTGCTATCAGTCGTATTGATAGCCTGTGCCATGAATACGCTCTTCGGCACCAATACTACGTTAAAGCCGTACTCTTTGAGCGCCAAGAACTTGGGTTCGCACGTCTTGACTGTGGTTCCCCTCGTTATCCACTTAACAAAGGGCTCAATAATGAGTTGTTTGCCCTCTGTTTCCGTGATGTGAGACAACGTGACGACAGAGAACTTGACGCGATTAGTGTACGTCTCCATCGCACCCAAGATCATGAAGTTTGAGAGCCGAACGCTCGCGATCTCCACGTCTTTGGTCTTTGTGCCCAGAGTTGAGTCCTTTGTGCGCAAAGCGAACGAACAAACTCTTTGCAATTGTTGCCAAACGTTGAATATCTTTTCGGTTCCCATCTCTATCTGACCGCTTTTGATGAGGTCCTCGACATCCACTTGAATAGACCAGTAATAGATTATGAACAACAACTTCGACGACGGGATGTCAAACTTGGGGCCCGAGAAGATCGGCGGCCTATCGATCACACGCGAAGCGTTGCATCTATTTTAGCGGTTTAATTGGTATTTCGTTTAATTAAAAAACCATTCATTTCATTATATCATTATTTCAAAGATTAGTCAATAAATACAAACTTTGAAAAATTGCAGTTCCAGTACTCGTATTTAGTGCTCTGTGTTTTGTTCACTTGATTACAGATGCCTTTATTACAGGACTGGCATTTGGGCGGTACTATCAGGTGTGCGGTTACCATCCATGCGATCGGAGACTCTTTGAATTTCTCTTTCATTAAAGCGTTATCTAAACCATAAATTCATTGTCAATATTAGCGCTTTTGGAGACAAATTATAAAACAATTCGTTTAATACCGAGTTTTATAAGAGAAGCGATGAGATCGTCGATAGCCGACGGCCACGAGAAGGGCAACGGCTTTATTGTGAGAATTGTTCTCATATTGATCTTCTTCGTGGGCTGAGTCGTCAATATAGTCATGCACTCCAATAATGTA